CCCCAACCGCTACTAACAGATACAAATCTTAGTCAATACAGGTTTCAACATATTTCAACACAGTTTGAACTGGACCATCACCACAAAAACAAGTGAATTATTGTTAAATATGTTCACATTTTACAACTTGAACTTGATGTTAGAGCCAAGCGGCGGACTGATTTCGCCCTCAGGCAAATAAAACCGCCTCCTTCCATCCTGAAAGGCGGCGCTGATGCCCAGGCCGCACTGACCACTGTTTGAGCTCATCATTGGGGCATTTTTCATCGAGTGCGCCTGACGGAAAGATAAGACGCTGTCGCGGGGCGTCATCCATCTTTGTTTCCAAGTTACTCTGGGAGAATTCAATCTCAAGAGTGTGGGGTTAGACACACTGGTGATTAATCAACTCCATGTTCATGTGGGTGTGAGTGTGTGTGTGCAGATCTTCACGGGTCTTTGTCTGCGAGCGATAAATCAATGTCCGAGCCCGTACAGGAGGCAGAATGCCTTAACCCCTATCAGCCCGTACAAGATGAATTCATCTAGAATTGTCTCGCGGACAATACTTTGACAGCATAGTTACGCTATCTCCCTCAGCTGGACCGGTAGGACGATGGCGAACCTTCAGGGTTATGAAGCAGAGGCAGCAGAGAGTGAGTATTTGTCCTGAAGGAGGGAGGGGGAGACAAAAAAAAGAAAAGAAGAAAAAAGCTGGCGGCTGACCAGGAATGAGACAGGCATGGGAACACGACTTGTGTGCACAGAGACGTCAGCTCACAGTTTATGAATAATTCCTCGGACTTCTGGGAGAAATCCTATTCAAAAGCGAATCAACTGTGACACTAAGGTTTTGCGCCTGGTGAGTGATTAGATTTACGTCTACGGGCAACTCGCGGAAGACGGTGTAGCTAAGAAAAGTGCAGAGCCATTTAAAGAATGCGCAGTCACAAAACGACAAAAGTGTTCCCTGCGGGAGATTCTGGTGCAAACAGCGAGGGATAAAAGATGAAGATTAATGACATAGCACGGCTCTGCTTTCATTATATCACTGTAGTTGTAATCAAATCACTTTTAAATGAATTTAATTTCCCTATAATATATCACCCTGTTTAGTTCATGCGATTTATCTTTTGAGTGTTTGAAAAGGTGCTGCATCTGAAGGCCGAGATTTTGAACAAACAGGATTTTAAGAGTGAAGCAACAGCAAGTGAAACTGGCGATCACAAATTATTTTTGCAAGACAACGCTCCAGTCCTCTGACTGACGCAAAACGATGTTTGAAACTTCACGCCGTTTCAGCTTTTCCACGTTCTGAAATGCAATTCGACCAGGATGAATTCAATTGAGTGTCTGCCTTATGGTTCAATGACACACTGGATCAAAATATTTTTGTAGTGTCAACCTTTTTGTGCATCTGTAAAACCCACCTATCAAGCAAGATGGTTGGCTTTGGGTGGAAATATGAAAACAGCGTGAGTGCGTTGGTGGATTAAAAAAAAATCCAGATTTTCCAACCTTCATAAACCAAAGCTAAAGAATGAAATCAATCCTTAATTCTTGTAGAATTACACAAGGATGACTAAACAGCAAAATTACTTCCAGTTGTTTCAAATAAAAAATTTAATGTATCTTACCTCTGAAGCACCATTACAAAGACATAATTGGTTATCCAAATTAAAAGTACTTCCCTTTAAAATTACTCACAAATACAACAGTCTCTCACATCAATTCACTACTGACCTACTTCTCATAAAATGCTAATTTGAGTCTATAGTATTTAGTATTAGTAGCGTATTTAAACATTTTTGACATTCTGCCAACAAGAAATAGTTTTAATTTGAGCAATCAAGTCAAATGTTACTCCTTTGTTTGAGCAGAAAGATGGAGAAAACATGAGAACCCACAGGATGTGGCTAGTCAGTCCTGCTGAACAGTCGTGATTTCACTAGCTAAAAAGACCTGGAGCTTGAAGTTTCAAGACGGGTCTATTAACAACATGCAGGTTTTGTCCACTTCTGTTTTACAGTGTAGATGCAAACATGGGTCAATAGGTTCATACACCTGCTGCCCACAGGGGAAAAGGAAGCCCCTCCTCTTCCCCTCGTCTGTGTAACAGGTGTCCCCCGCATAGCACCATCAAAACAAGAAATTCACATGAGCAGAAATGAAAGACGGGCAGTGGGTGGGCACTCCAGAGGAAAACAGTAATTATGAAGGATTTATGGCTGACACAGATTCTTGCAGCTGTTTTAGCGTTGTGAAAGCTGGTTGTGGCACCAAAACAAATTAAGCTGTGATTAGATGTAAAGTCTATTTGAAAACAGAAAATGTTCCTAAATGTCCCTGTTTGTTTTGAAACTATACTGACTTCATGTCCGGTTTGAAGGCGAGGATGAAGGAGGTGAAACGGGAGGTGCAATGTCTTAGGTAGCTTCTAAACACAGGTTTGTGCTCCCAATCTTGAGACCATGATTACAACATGACGGCCAACGCCAGTGGGCCGTGACACAGTCCGAGGGAGGTCTTCAGGGCTTTCAATGTACATCGGTTCAAGATCATTACTCCTCTCTCCAAAACTAAGACGTCTGGGAATGACTAACGCATGCAAACAGCCATGGTAATGGAGGCATAGAGACGGTAAGGTAAATACCCAGGAAAGTGAGGGAAATCCTGAGCTGGCCGACTTGAATGGCTGCAGAATGCATTGTTCTATTGTATAGGAATGTTTTTACCTCAGAATAACCTCATGTTGAGGTGAGCCTTACATTCAAAACATCAGAAACGGAATAAGCAGCAACGCAGCAGACTTAGAGTAAACAGGAGAAATCAAATCAGTCAGCGTACGAGTGAAATGTCCGTCTTATGGAGTCACAGAAGTCTTTGTAATAGCTTAAGATGCTCCCTCAAACACGAAGACATTAAGCTTTCACTTACTGTAAAGATTAAATAAATAACCTAAGATTAAATAAATGTGTTAAGAATGCACTCAAATACAGGACTGAATGACCATCGAATGTTTCACATTTCTTATTCCTTTGGCAAATTAATTGTGAGCAATCAAATTTGGCAAAAAATATACAAATAAACCTCTGATGTTAAAGTGAAAAGCGATTTGTACAAATATAATTAAGCTTAAATAAAAAAAAAATATGTGACATAAAATACATGATTGCATGGATATTGACTGATCTAATTAAACAAAGGTCCAGCCAACTGGTGCTACTAATCTCACCGAGAGTGGAATGGAGGTCACTTGAGTGCAGGGTCTGGGTCCTAAGTGACTGTAATGCCGAGTAATACATAGAGTTAATCACTGGTTAATTAGTATTCCTAATCACTGATCAGAGAAAATGTCTGTGAAACATGGAAGGATTTTTGATGTTGCATGTTTTTATTTGATTGTCATTATTTTTCTAGAAATCAGTTTTCACTGATTTTTGTTGTGTTGTAAAAGCAATATAAAGGGAAGAGCTCATAAAACCAAACCGGTTTGGCTGGAGGAGGACCGGCGCCCAGATTCTGAAGTACGGTAAAACTGAAACTTAAAATTATAGCCTTGACGGTATTTTTTGGCATAAATAAGAGTGCTCAATATAACCATCTGATGTTTTATCAAGTGTTTGACATGCAATCTAAACGTAAGGTTGTCATCCAGCCAAATCCCCTAATATTTCTAGGGAAATGTTTTTAAGTAAGCTTCTCCTCCACATGCAAAACCACAAATGCTACCCAGAGTTTTGGGAGAAACATTAATTTAGCTTCATTACAATTAAAAACAAGTATTAATTCAAATAGTGATGCCTGCTGGAGCTGGCATCAACTCACTCTGCAGAGCAGAACCACATGAATAAAATACGACGGTGTCATCAGCATAAGGCGCGCTCAAACTGAAGAGACACAGTGATCCCAATGTTAATAATAAAGTAAAAATAGTACAGGTTTAAATAGAGCCTCTGAAACCGCCTGAAGGCTAATTACTCAAACAATTATCAGTAAGTCTGTTTAAGAACGGCTCATTTCACAATGCTGGTTGCTGATAAGGTACAACGACCAGAGTTAAAGCAAGACTGGCTTTCACTTAAGATATTATTGTCAACCAAATATCGCTTCAGCTGAATATTTATATTAAGTTTTAGAATCCTGAAAAAAAAAAACAATCAGAAAGTTGAGATACAGGCAGATTTAATTTAACTTTAAAGTCTACATCTATTGGAGGAAAATGACAGAGTCGGATGAAAAGTAAGGACAGTTCGCCTTTTTTATATTCCAAGAAGTAAAACTCCTCAATAGTAATAAAAAAAGCTAAAACATTGTTGTTTCTTTAGTGAGCAAACAGTCAGATATACTCTGACATATACTCTGATATAGTTTCATGAAGACTGATGCATGGTGTTCTCAAGAGCAGCTCGAAGCCCCAATGTTGATATCTGATATCCAAATCCAGGTTGAGTTGGGCAAACATCAGCTTTCTCCTTTATTAATGGGTGTTAATATCTTTTGCTTAGACTACTTGCTACAATCCAGACAAGATCTAATCTTCCTACTTGGCCGGTTCACACGTTGGATGAAGCCCGGGACATCTCATCCACTATCAGGCTCAATACTGTATAACCTAATGTTATCAACCCATGTATTCCCTCCAACTCGGTTAGTATTCTTCAGGTTTGCCATAGAGAAAACATTATCCACTTAACAGGTCGTCTCATGCAGCATTGACATCAGATTCACTCTCTACCTGTAAAAGCAACCGCTGTGTTTTGGTTATGCCTCGCTGCCTGGTCATCTATGTAGCCAAATTAAGCATTTGATTCTTACAACAGCAGAACGAGGGGACCAATGTGACACAATAAGTTAAGAAAAATAATAAATAGTGACAAATGCCGGTAAGGTCACAACAAAAAACTTCACCACACTCATTTGTCCGACAAGACGGCAAAATCAAATCAGTTCTCTGCTTCTGAACACCCAAAGTCATCTGATCAGTCTCGCTTAAAGTCAAAACACACACTGTGGCCTACCTTATCTTCCATTCTGATCATGCGTGCTCCAATGGTTGGGTACTCTTTATCTTCTCCCTTTCCTAGTGAATTGGAAGAAAAAGGGGGGGGGTTGAAACATTCAGAAAACACTTGATAGCTTAACTAACGTTACCTGATGACAAATCCCATGATAAACCTTGGCATTTATCCATAAAAGATGAAAACAGATGTGGAGGCAGAATGCATTTGCGATTGAACATATCATTTGTTTTTATGGAGCTCGGAAGGCTCCAAACTATAATTAGCATCATCCGTTGGCACCAGTGAATGACAGGTAAGGACATGCAAAATGAGTAGGAGGACAGTAGGAGGAAGTACATTAAATAATTGATCGCTTACACGAGCTGTAACTGAATAGGACGGCTAGTTATTTCTGAAAAAACGAACAACTGTAGAAATCAATGAATTACATTCATTCATAACGCCAAGATATTGCCTCACTGTTATATCAGTGACAGGAAAGATTTTGCATGTTCTCTTCTCGGTACATGTTTGCTTCCATCGCCATTTTCCATGTCAATACTCAATAAGACCCCAGTAATAGCGGGTCAGTGGGGTCTTCCATATTCCTGGAAATTCTGCTGCAAGACTGAATATGTCAATTAAATATGTTAGGTAAATTTTAGCTCATCTTCTTTTTCATTTGGTGCTAGAATTTCACATTTACAAACACATCTTTTCGAATCTCGGATTTTCGGTTTTAGAAATAAACCAAACTGGTAACACTTCATTTGACGGCGTGTTTATAAGAGTGACATGACGAGGTGACGAAGTGTTTCTGACTGAGTGGTGTATTTCTGCAAATAATACATTCAGCAAATAACGACATTCAGCAAATAACGACACTTTTAATGCAAAGTTCCATTAAAACTCATATTAAAATTCCATTTATATTTTCAACTTTGGATTAAAAGTGTCATTATTTACTGAAAGACTCTACATGACAACAGTTGTAAACATTCCTAAAGACTTCTTCGTGTTATGTCATATTCATAACAGTGTGACGTCAGCCTCATGAACAAACCATCAAATAAAGTGTTACTGAAACAATTAATGACATTTTTTTATGATCTGAAATAAATCAGCAGTGCACCCCAGGCTTTCTCTCTCTGGCCGCATTCTCAATCTTCAACAGAAACTGACCACTTAAAATAGCCAAAAACAAAAATAATGAGCTCTCAGCAATTACATACAGACCTCTGTCTTTGCGGGTTCACAACACAGATAAATACGCTGCTGCAATCGAGTAAGGTCTGATAAAAATCTGATAAACAAATAAACCAATATCATTCTTTGGAGATTTAATCTTCAGGATGGCAGCAGTCAGCTGTTAGCTAGTTATTTGTTTAGCTAATTTCGATTTATACAAAACAAAGACCAAGCAAGAGTTCGGCCTCACAGGTAACATATTAACCTCATTTAAAAATTCTGAGCTCTCTTCTCTTTAATTTTTGTTAACTTTATTAGCGCTGCATTGGTCATATCAACACATTTCGTGTTGGACCAAGAAGCTACCGCTTCATCTTTAGCTTTGCTCCTGTTCAGTTTAGCTTTTGCTTTTTCTCCGTTAGTGGACAAAGAAGCTCCAGTAGCGGTCGATGCAACCGATGGGACCACTTAGACAGTTTGAGAGTAATGTAACAAACGAGTGTTTGTAAGTCGTCTGACAGGAATTTACGCAAAGGTGCCAATAAATGGCGACACACGGTCCGACGAGCCGCGGCGAACAAATTCAAGCGCTTATAAACACAAAAACACACATCCAAACAGAGCCGTGAGCGCAAACATTACGGCCCTGTCATTCTCGTGTATTTAGTCTGGTGGTGCTTGAGCATGTGTGAGTTATAAACACAGAGGTGGAGTGAGGAGTGATGGTTGTCTGTCAGATCCAGCCCGTTTCCTTGGTGTTTACCTGGCAGAAACATTCCTGGCTTCCCGAGGGTGCCATCCAGCCTGACGGAGAGCAGATAAAAACAGAGAAAAGTTAGAAACAGATACAGCAGAGATTAATCTGACCGGACAGCTTGTTATGGTAACTGTTAAACAAGGAAGAAACACAGGACAAACTGATTAATCTTTACACGAAAATACAGTAATGAAGTGCAGTAGAAATCCTCCCTACTCTACAGGGGAGATCTGAAAATCTAAGTGAGTAAATAACACATTATTTAACAGCTTTATTATTTGCGTTGATCAAAACAAACTTGCTTCATTGTTTCTTTCAAGCTAGTTATTTTAATAATAGGCGATTGTGGTGAAATCGGTGGCAGCTTTTTATGTATGTTTAAGAACATTTAGAGTTGGTCTGGCACTTAATGTAAAACAACAAAATAATTATTTTGAATTCAAAGTATCAACAACCTTCTGCCTTCATTTATTCTTGCTTTCTATTTGAAACATAAGAAAGAACATTGCCATAATTATTGACCTCAAACCACACTAAGCATTATTTCACTTCAAATCTGCAGAATGTAACTTTAATTTTAAAAACAGTTTTGTCATACATATTTGTGGAAATTTCACAGTGTGGTGTCAGTACAATAGGAGACAATTAATCTGTGAAAATATGGAGCTTCTCCATCTCCTCCCAGTGCTCCCAGCAGAAATACACCACTCAGTCAGAAACAACCAATCAGGCTTGAGTACATGCTTTCCAAAATTTCTCTGTAGAAAAATAATGATTGATGATTTTGACGACTGCATTTAACAAAATGTAGTGTTTTCTTGCTTGTTTCATAATTGCAAAACTCTTTGACCTGCCTTGTTGATGAAATGTGCTTTTAAAATAAACTTGACCAAGTTCTCACAGCAACCTTTTTTTTTTAAATGCGTGTTGTTTTTTTTACATTTTCATCATGGGTGCCAATATTATGATGCATGCGGTAAAGAAACTAAATTTTTCTTCCCAAAAGTGAGAACTTTACTGTTCCTATTGGCTATATTTACGAGAGCGATAGCAAGCTGTACTCACAACATATTTTTAATTGTTTATATGACTTTAAACATTTTTTTTGTTATAAAATATTAAAGAAACATGCCAAAATCCATGCAAAGATCTATAGGGTATCAGAAGAAGAAACAGGACAAAACAAAGTCAAGGCGTCCACCTTCTCTGCAGCTCCTTGATGCGAACCATCATGTTAAGGTGACCCTGGGAATACTGCTCGATCACGTCTCGCACATCATAGGGCTTCCGAGCTTGCTGCGGATCCACACACACACACACACACACACACACACACACACACACACACACACACACACATACGTACACGCACACACAAGAAAAACACACGGGCACACACACGGTGGGACACAAAGCCATTGTCAATCACAACCTCTTGTTGCTCGGTCCCCTGAAAACATCCCCCAACCCCCATGGGTGCAAAGAGTTCGTTGTGAGCTCAATGTGTGTATTCCGTGTGCGTGAGCATGCATGTGCGTGCACATATATGCTTGCGTGCATGAGCGTGCGCGCGTGAGTGTTTGTGCACAGAGAGGCGCATGGTCATGTAGAGAGCAATCGTGTTAAGGTCCTTTCACAGCTTTGTGTGGTGTGACGTTGACACAGGGGGTATCAGAATGAACTCAGTGAACCCTTTAGGTTATCCCTGCTAGACACACTATAGTCTATACAGCTGAGATCACTTAGCCCGTAATTGGAAACATGCAGAACACCTGAAAAAAACACAGCCATAGAAACTGTGATAGGGAACTTTTACTACAGATAAATACGTTTAATAGCACGTTACTGCAGGTTTTTCTTAAAGATTTGAAAAAAATAACACCTGGAGGTTTCTCAACTATAGGGTCATGCAATGCTGTAGCTTTATAGGTTCGTATGATAAATTCATTATGACCATAAACACAGACAGGCAAATTTTTCACGAATTATAACTTTATGCTTAATTACTGAACCCCACAAGAGACAAAACAGAAAAAATAGACACTTCTACAATATCTCTGGAAAAGTTTACAAGATCCCCAAGTTGCTTTAGCAAGTTCCAGCAAAGTCTTTGTGAGAGCCTAGAAACGTTTAGCAAGATTCCAAGTTTCTTCATCAAATTCAAGGAAGAATTTTTGTGAGACCCTGCAAAGGTTTTGCAAGAGTGCAAGTCACTTTAGCAAGTTCCAGTAATGTTTTGTGGGCACCCAACTTGCTTCTGTGAGATCCTGTATAAAGTCCAAGATGCATTTGCCAGATCTTATGAGGGGTTTGCTAGATCAGTGAAGGTTCTGGAGAGTCTGAGTTACTTTTACAAAGTGGAGCACAAATTTAGCAAAATCTCAGGTTACTTTTGAAACTCCCTCCAATTTTCAGCAAAGGTTTTTAAGAGACATTTTGCAAGGCCCCTTAATGAATCCTGCAAAGGTTTAGGAAAACCCTGAGTGACTTTTGTGAAGTTCAGAAAAAGTTTTATGATGTCACACAAATGTTTCTACTTTTAATTTTTTTGTAAAAGTATTTTGCTGGACACCATTTGGAAATCCTACACTGTAAATACTGTAAGTACCTCCTCTATAGAAAGCTGAAATTTAGGGAATATCCTGTAGTTTCCTGTTATTATCTTAACTCCATTGCTGTTAAAATAACAAAAAATAAAACTTAAATATTGGAAATTGGAGATGATTTATGTAATTTATATGTTAGCTACTGATTTAGACATGATGATTTTATGTGATACAGTTAATTAGATATTTTGAGATTTTTTGTGCATGTCAGGGTTAGCAACATTTTTCAGAAGAAGATTCTCTGTTCTTGCAAGAAGAAAACTTTTACTGGATTTTTTTCTTTTTATTATTATTTCTCAAATGTCTCTAGTGGGGCTCAGTATTTGGACACAAACGCATTCCTCTTCCTCTTCATGCATAACTCACTGCTTCCACTCACAATCTGAATCTTCTCATCTGCCATTCCTCTAACTCCGTTTCCCCCCTCTCAGGATTTCTTTTTCATATTACCTGAAATTTCCTCCTGGCCACAAAGTACTGCATTCTGCGCAGAACTTTCACAGCAGACCTCTGGGCATGGGATAACCTGGGATAAAAAATGAGACGGAATAAGATTACAAAACAAGAGACTGTCGCTAGGGAAGAGCTCAGGTGTAAACGTAAGATGAAAAATAAATGCAGCCTTGCGTTCGACTTGAATGTATCTTGCTGCGATTTAAGCATCTGCAGGTATTGCATGAACTGTGCACCGGCAAGACACATTAAATGCGGGTCTAACGCGTGACGCAGCAACATAAGGATAATAAAAATACTTTGTGCACTGCAGCTCCCGCCTCCTCATCCCGCTCATTGAACCTGACCTGCATTAAATCTGCAACCTTATGCAGAGTGAAAGAGAAGCAAAACAGATTCCATCTGCACCGCAAAGGGTCCAAAAAACATAAGTCCCTCAGGTCAGAGCCGCACATCTGTGTCAACACGAAAGACAGCCCAATGCTGGGGTTCTGTGGAACACTGAAATTAAAACGAGTGGATGTAAACAACACACACACACACACATACTTGCATGCCACTATGGCTTCCTTGCATGCAATTCAGTTTGTTTTTTCAACAAAGGGTCGTTTGGCTTACATGTACTGAATCACCTGAATGTGCAATAAGGCGCGTGCTGAACAGAAGGGAAAAAAAGTCAAATGTGATGTAAAAGGCTGTAAAACACATCAGGTGTTACGAAAGCTGCACTTCATAATTGGACGAATTCCAGTTTGATTTGCCCTGAAACTCAAATGTAAAATCTCTTTCGGATCAGACAGAACCAATGAGCAGTGACTATACATCCGGTCATTATGCAAACTGATAATACTTTTCAGTGTTGACACAATCTGAGTGAAGATTTTAAAGTTAGCGAGTCAAGATGGTTAATTGATATTGTGACGGGAAAGAAGCAGTGTTACCAATTTTGAGATGACGTTGCAAGACTTAATGGCAACAAAACCATCCAACAATCACTCCTTGGTCAAAAATGCGCAACTATTTTGCTGCTGTTTCACTGGTGTGAAAATCTTATCACCGTTACAAATTTTTTACTGGATGATGAATTTTCCAAGAAATCACCGTGTTAATACTGTCATTTTGTGACCATTTTCAAGTAGCATAGTGGTGTAATAACTCAAGTTCGTCCTCTCAAAGACTGAGAAAGCTTTCATTGTGAACAGAACACTCCACACTGGAACTGGAAATAATTTTGAGGTTTTAAACTGTGTCATGGAGCATGCTAGAGTTACAGAAAAATATACAATCTCTAGAACATACACACAGACAGTGCTGTTTCAGTAATGCTAACTATGCTAACCGCTAACATAAGATACTTAAAGCCTTTTCTCACAGCTATAGCACTGAGAACGAAAAATAGCATGACACATATATATATATATATATATATATATATATATATATATATATATATATATATATATATATATATATATATATATATTAAATGAGTAGGGAAGTGTGTTTGAAGTGCTCGTTTGGTTCTTCTTGTGTCTATAGGTGGAGTGACGTTCCGCTGCAATGAAAAGCACCTCCAGCTGTAAATGAATAACCTCATTCTTGTGTTAAAGCCTGTGCTTTGTATATATGTTGCTCTCCACGCTGTCGTGCACACCTCTCACGCAACGTGCCGGTCGCAGCAGACACACACGCACGCGCACGCCAAGCTGACACAAGGAAACACATGGCTTCCACCCTCCTCCCCAAATAAGGTCTTCTGTGGAGTCAACAAGTCGCTTTGAGTTCTTAATTAGGGCAAAGGGGAAGACAAAAAGACTCGAGAGACAATATGTTGACAGCGGACCATAAAACGTGAACATGAAAGAGCGATGGGTTGCACGGGTTTTGGTTTTTTTTGAGGAAAATACACTCAAACACTCAAACAACACCAAACAAAGGCCCTAATTTGGAAAAAAAAGAAGACGCTGACCACCCACTCCTTGCTCTTTTCTGTGTCGACAGTGAGAAATATGTGTGTTGTCTTTCTTGCGTTCTGTGTGACTTGGACATTCTGGTGTTATTGGTGGGTGAGCGGGGGGCGCGAGGGGGGACTAGAGAACATGTGTAGGAAACTAAAAACATGTGGGGCTCTGATGCTTGTACAACTCCCTCCTCGCCCTCCTCCTATTTCCTGCAAATCAAACAAATGCACACACATGTTTGGAGGACAAGTGTGATAAAACAAGAACGCTGAGCGGGTCTGGTCTGCCGCGCCGACTCCAGCACACATTTGGCGCGCAGAGAAACCAAACAAGTCCTGCGTCTCTGTGCTGCAACAACTGCTGACTCGGCGTCTTTAGCCATCGCCCCGAGCCTCCGTGTTTGTTCGCTCGCGTTGCAGAAGGTTCGATCCGCAGACATGGGTTGGGGATTCCTCTTGAGCCGGCGGAGCTCAGACTCCCCCCCCCCACAATGACTCCAATATACCTTTTACTGTTCTGGTTCAGGGTGGCGGTCTGTAATTTAATACACAGAATTAAACCACCTTCCTCAGCTCCCGTCTCCGTAGACACATTTTTCATCTGGTCCAACGTGGAAGTCATCTCTAAGCTAGGCAGCTGCTACAGCTCTTAATTATCTCCCCCCCCCGAAAAAACTGTGACTGATTTACCCCCATGGCTTCTTCTTGACCCCCTGTTTTTAATAAGTTTTCTCCTTTTTCATTTTCAGATGGTCACTTTGGAGATCTCTGAGTTGTCAGTGGCAACTCTCTCCATTCCCTCACCCCCTCCGAAACCCCCAGGCTCTCAATTTGGCAGGGGACAGTCAAATATCCTGTGCTTCCATGGTGCAGAGCAATAACCTTAAAAACAAGCAGCCTCAGACATCAGTGTGCAACGGTCAGGGCCCAGAAAGACTGCCGAAGCAGGTTTGTCTCTGCGCTGATGTGTCTGTGACAGATAAGCCTGATAGCTGGTGCTTTGGTCTGTCAGCTTTTTCTCTGTTCTTCACAAAATTAGGCAGCTTTCCATCATATCTTTGAGAGATGAGAACTGTTCGCTTTAAGTGAAGAAATGCCAGAGGGTGATGTGGCAAGCACAAAAGCTGGAGACATATCCTAACAGATTAATGGCAAAGTGGATCTGAAATAAGTAAGATAGATGATATTATAGCCTGAAGGTGATAAATAACAAAGTGGAAAAAAACAGCTTTGCAGATCTAGAGACTTTTTGATTTATTTTTTGTCTTTGCAAAATAGCTCACATTTGGTCAGATTTCATGGAGAGAATTTGCATACAGCATTTCAAGTTAAGCCAAAATTCTTAACTGGACTTGGGTGTGTACTTTGACTGGTCCACTTAAATATGCTTTGATGTCGGGCTGGTGGAGTAGCAGATGGAAGCACTCCATTGTACCCACTGCAATCGGCTCTCCACATTTGTGAGTTTTTAAATCCCATCTTATATATTTATGAAGTGCTGCTTGTGTTTGTATGTGTGTAACGTTGTCCATGAGTTTTTTGTTGTTTTTGCATGTTCAAAATGCAAAACCAATGTCCTCCTTGAAAGTGAATAAAGATACTGAAAGATGCTGGACTGACAATATCAATACCTGTCGTGATAGATACATGATCAACATCAATAAAAAACACTCTAAATGTGTGAGAGGTGGGGTTTCTTTGCACTTGATCAAACGCTACACAATTACAGGCCAATTACCACAACTCATTCATTCTTTGGTTAATCTAGCAACAATCTGTTGTGTAACATGCGCAGTAGCAGTTTCATGTTGTAGCAGACAATTTTAATATGACAAAAGGTCAAATAAAATTGGATTGGCATTTGAATTGTGAAAACCTTAAACAAAAAAAAAAACAGAAAAAAGCTTCCATACTGGGTGATGCTGCTGTTCAACAAAAGGCTTTCATTCAGTATCCCCTATTCAGCCATGAATAGTCTGATCGGGACATACATGGAGCATTAGGAGTCACCAAGCCACATCAAAGTCCAGCGCCCACGTTTGATGTACGCGACCGCAAACACACAAAAAACGAGAAATATTGTACGCTCAGGACTAAATGTGCTGCATTTTACTCTCAAACCTGCAAAAGAACGGCACCAAATAAAATGGAATCTTATGAAATACCAACATCGAAAAACAAAAATGAAGAAAAAAAGAAAAAAAATCAGAACAAATCATGTTGTTTTAATGAGACAGAAAATCAGAGGTCAAAACTCTGTCCTAACACAGACAAAACACTGCAGAGAGGTGCACAACTAACAAAAGAGCTAATTACTGCTGAATTCCTCTCTGTGCTCCACGTTGTGGGAGGACAAGAGAGACGATGAGAGATCCAGATCTAAAACTCTGAAATCTGTTTCAACTCATGTCCTGCTAGAAGTACCTGTTTTGATCAGAATAATAATGATGCTAAAATAAGAAGTAATACATATACTGTTGAGGGATTTGTTTACATTAAAAAAGTAAAAGATCAGAGTGTGACAATGATTTCCATGGAGATAAAACTAGTAAAATATGAGGTTTAGTGTTTCAGAGCGGAGACAGAGACAGAGCTTCAAGAGAAGGGCGTGGAGTTAAGTTATCCTCTAAGTGGGACCTAATTAGAGAGATGGAGCACTGGATAATTTGGTGGTTATTACCCCCATGTTAGACTTTCTGGTCTAAATGTTATGCCTAGTCTGTGCCAGTAACTTTTTTTTTTACTACTTTGTGATAATATCACGTGTTAGCCCCATTAATTTGGCTCCTTTTTATTCAGGTTGCTGAGTTGGTGGTCTGACGTTCCCCTCAGTCCTGATGTAAGGACTTAAGATGCAGGTAGCCATTCGACCACATCAAGGATTTAAAACCAGTCAAACCCATCAACTGCAAATGCACTCCCACACCTGTCTCTTATTACAGATTAGAGATAATTAAGGCTCTGGAAGTACTTCATCTGGACTGACAAGAAGAAAAAGTTACTTCTGCAAACTGAAGTGGAATACTGACGTTAATTATAGCAACAACTAGAATGTGTCTCTTTAACTTAATCTGTCTCATTATTCAGATGGACTACGTTGACATTTGCGTATT